CTATGTGATATGATGTAAAATTACATAAGATGGATGTTGTAATGTGTGAATCTGCTATTGGTAGCAATTACGGATTGTATCAGTATGACTTCTGTTAGACTAGTTCACTATATTTTAGCATTTGAAACTCATGCATTGTCATATTCCCATCAATTTCAAATGGTGGATTGCAGAGCATTGATTTGACGAGCCATAACTGATATGGTCTTCATCAAGAGATTTTTATATTGCTATTAATTATGGGTGTCATGCTCACTATATGTAAAGTACCAAAAAAAATCATGAGTGCATTTCCTATTCAAATTATGAAATCCTACATCACTATGCCACATTCTCTAGGCCCCCCTCCCCCCACACACACACTTCTATCCCTGAAAAAGGCCTTTTGATTCAGGACTAATCTGTCCCTATCCTGTTTCTTTCAGCACCACATCACAGGCTAAATAGAAGTGCACCCAATGGCAAGTGTAGCTGATCCATAATGTTGTTGAAAAGATCTGAAAGATTCTGCATATGGGGTGAACTGTGAAATACATAAACAGGTTTTTACATTTTGAAAAATGTGATCAGGAACAGACTGGTATGTGTGGCAATGTGTTCTTGGCAGTCTCTCTGACCTGGTCAAACACCCATTCCTCACCACCATTTGACAATTCGATCCATTTTTAGATGTAACCTCGAGTATGGTGAAAGACCCAGCGGACGTCTTGGACAGGCAAAAATGCCTTGACGCTCTGGCTGCCCTACGCCACGCTAAGTGGTTCCAGGTTCGGAACATCATTTTACTTTCTTCTTGTAGCCTTATGAGATGTATTCCTTTTTATTTGTTCATTTAAGTTGTTTAGTCTTTTGTTTTTAAATTTTAAACCTCAAAGCTGATTTTTTTGGGAGGAAAAAGTGATACAAGGATGCAGTATAAAATTTGGTGATTATACTATCTTTTCCATTTGTTTTTGTATATATGAGCTGATTTGATCCTAACAAATTAAGCATCCTTGCATACATGTCATTTATTCATAAGTCTTATATTAAATACTACTTAGCATGTAAAATGATTCCATAAGGCTGCAGAATACCTTTGCATAAAGTGTCATCGATAAGAGCTTTCATGTTGAGCTTTTGTTTTTTTGTGATTTTATTTTTTATTTTATTTTTGTTTATTTTTTTTGTTTTTCTTGGGAATAGGGATTGAGAGGAAAGGAATATCTGATTAGTTTACTGTGTTGCTATCTCCGCAAATACACAGGCAAAGTAAAGCAGATTTCCTTGACTGCTTCAGTTCCTATGCAACTACTCTTGCAAACTGATCTTTTGTAAAATGAAAGTATATGTTTGTGAAGTATTTGACAATTGAGGTCAAGGTTTACAAGATTACCAAGGAGTCATTCCAAGTAAATCTTGCAAACTTTGAACTCTTGTACTAATGGTGAGGTAAAATACTGCTGGGAATGGCAGCTTAAAAAAAGTAAATTGGTCCCGCTGTTTTTAAACCAGTTAAAAGCTTCCATTGTGAACAGTAGTGTTGCACCTCTCTCTGAACTCTGACATGTTGAATGCCTTTACTCTTGTGCATTAACTAATCTTGATTTCACTTCACTGCACTGAAGGCTAGGGCTAATGGGCTCCAGTCATGTGTCATTGTCATTCGAATACTGCGTGACCTGTGTCAGCGAGTACCCACCTGGTCTGCTTTTCCTAGCTGGGTGAGTAAAGACAGAAATACCTGGCCATTTACCATTTGCTGTTAAGTTGCTGTTGACTCCTGTTTAGCTGTCATTAACTCAATGCATAGATCTGCAGTTGACTTGAGAAGATGCAAGTACAGTTCCTGTCTACATTACTCACGATTTCATACGTAACTAAAACGCTATCCTATGTAGTATAAGGCCTTTCCTACAACCAACATGTTAAATTCTGAATAGTTTAAGGGATTGTTTCTCCCCCATTTCATTCCCTCCTTTATACTGTCCTTGGTGTAGCTTTGTTACTAATGTGTAGCTCATCCCTAAGACTGTTGCTATAGAGCCACAGTCCTGTTGAGTTTTGCTTCATCCCTAATCAAACACACCTGAACAAGCTAATCAAGGTCTGAAGGGTTACTAGAATACTACAGGCAGGTGAACTTTTATCAGGGTTGGAGCAAAACTCTGCGGGACTGGCTCTCCAGGACTGAAGTTCGCCACCCCTGCTATAGAGGTTGTAAAAGCATAATGCTGCTTTTCAGTCCTACTTAATTTTATCATCCTCCAGTCTTCCTCTTATGAGTAAACTGCTGCTTAATGTGCCTTTTTAAGAGCAAGTGTTTGATATTGTGGATTCTATTAAGTGCCTGTTGACTTTTCCAAGGCTATGGAGTTGCTGGTGGAGAAGGCCATCAGCAGTGCCTCTGGACCAATGAGCCCTGGAGATGCTCTAAGACGAGTCTTTGAATGCATTTCCTCAGGCATTCTGCTGTCTGGTAAGAGGGCCCTCTGATAATATCTGTAGCTTTTATGTTGATAGTCAGAAAATGTAAGTAATTTTATGCAATCAGTTTCTTTTTTTTTCCATTGCATAAAATGAAAATGTGGGATGCATTCATTTACTGACAACTTAGTCATATTGTTGCATAGAAATTAAACTTGAGAAATTAGGTGCTTAATTTAACATGCTCTCTGGCTTGTATCCCTTTCCTTTTAATGCAGGTGCTCCAGGATTGATAGACCCCTGTGAGAAGAATCCAACAGATACACTGGCCAGCATGGAAGAGCAGCAGAGAGAGGACATAACGTCAAGCGCTCAGGTGGAGTACACAGTAACTGCTTTGAAGAATATTTTCATCATGCATTGACTACATTTAAAAATGTTTAAATGTATTTTGACAATTATTGTATAATTATGCATGCAGTTATGGTCTCGTATTAATCGAGAGGTACATTGATTTTTTTTTTTTAGTTTGTGTATTGACCAGCCGCTTTCTCCACAGTTTGCCTTGAGGCTGCTGGCGTTCCGTCAGATTCACAAGGTTCTGGGTATGGACCCCCTGCCCCAGATGAACTCGCGCTTCAACGTGCGAAATAACCGCAAGAGGCGTCGCGATAACAGTGATGGCACTGATGGATTTGAAGCAGAAGGAAAGAAGGACAAGAAGGACTACGAGGGGTTCTAAAGTGCACTACAGTACAACTAGCCCTGTTCACCCTGCACCTGTTTCAAATTCTGTTTATTCCTGGTATATAAAATGCTATTTCTGTTGATCTCTGTGCATGCCGATTATATATTTTTAAGAACTAGTGAAGACCTGATTATGGCCTTTATTTCCTTGACACAGACTCTAGCCCATCTCAGTTGTTTAGTCTGGTGTCTTGGTTTAAAGATTGGAGATGTGCACAATCTAGAGAAGTTGAGCCTAAGTTCATGCTCATTTTAGCACATTGGATGTAATCTTTCCCCATATTTGGATCTCTGAGTTTCAGGCTAGGCATTTCTAGAAGTTTGAGCTGCACACTTGTGTCCCTGTGGAACCGATTCTTTAAAGTCCATCTTATCCTTCCAGTTACACATGTAAAGTAACTTTGACAATGGCTTCCTTGGCATTGCAATAAATTGTTTAGGTGTTTTTGTAATTTATTTTGTTTAGAGACATTCCTCTTCAAAACGCAAGATCAAAGATAAGATGGTTGATTTATGCAACTGGTTCGTCCTGTTGTGATGAATGTGATAACTTTGACTGGATGTGGATTTATACAAGCATGTATTTTCCATTGCTAGTGCATTCTGAAGGCTGGGTTGGCTTTTAACCATTTGTAAATTTGTCATTGGCTAACTAATATCCTTGAAACCTCTCTAGGACTTCATTCCTTCTATATGCTTGCAAGTGATGTAAAGCTGCACTTGTCCCAAAGTTAGGCTGTAAGTTTGCTGATAGCTGTGCCTCTGTGGTGTAGCTCTCACATTTCTCAAGACACCAACCGTTGAAATCAGACCTGGGCCAAATACCAGAAGTATCTACCAATTGTAAATTTAAAGGAGTCTTGAGTTGCAGGCTCATTTCAGATTAGTTATTCTCACAAGGAAGTATTCAAATGGTGATCATTTGGAGTGTTTTAAGGTCAAAGACTTTTTTGTTTGTTTTCCTATAGATCTTGTAATTGACCCAGGTCTGCCTGTGTTTTGTGTTCATAATATTGTAAACCCTAAATGTATCTGTAAATGTGATCATATAACTGTATGATCTCTAATATATGATCATTTAAAAAAGCCTGTATCTAATCTTGCAATAGATCTTCAAAACAAATGCCTGTATGGTTTTAAAGCACAGGAATGTTTATTTTGATTTTTATTGATTTTGTTTTACTGGTTTATAGATGTGTAGTTGCTTGCTGTTAATTTTAATTTCTGGTTTGAGTTTGTTGATGGGAGGAACAAAAGTGAAATATCTGTGTTGTAACTGCAGATTGATGTAGATTTAACCTTTGATGCTTGTCATTCACTGTCAAGGTACTACTAAAATGCTTATAATAAAGACATTTCTGAAACTAAATATAACTGAAATACATGTAGAGTTGTCTTCAACCAGAAGTTTTAGTTTGGTTTGACTTTATTAGTTTCATTTGCTTTATTTCAGTATGTGTAACTCAGATTAAAGGATTCTAATCTAGATCCTTTTTTTTTGCATTACTTCTAGATTGCCTCACAGGTGCTTAGTTATCTTTCCTGTTATTTATGCTAATGAGGATCTACTTAGTCTGTGCACTTATGAATTGAGTGAAAATGAGAAGAAACGGTAGATGTGCAAACACAAAGTAAAAAAAAAAAAGCATGAAAGATGAAGCATAAACCTCTAACTTCAGGGCGTAGGCTATTTTGAATATGACTGCTTATTTGTTCAGCAACGAGGAAGCGCATAAGATTGACAGCCTCTTCATCCAATGAGCAAAAAGCGGCTTGTTCTTGACCAGAGTAAAATGGACCGTTTGTCCACAAAGAGCCAATGCCGTCGAATGGGCGCGGCTTGCTGTCAGAGCAGGTTTGTTTTCCATTCCAACCAAAGGAAATCCGCGCTTGCTTGTGCAAAGAGAGAGGGAGGAAAGTTGTGTTCGCACTCTCCCGGATTTCCACCTGACTGCTCGGGAAGCGGGATACTGTGGCGCAATGTTGAGTTTGGGGAGCGGAGGAGCGAAGTCTTCTAAACCGTCGTTTGTGTCTTATGTTACACCCGAGGTAAGCGAAAGCTTTCAAGTAGTAACACACTTAGGCTACGTTGATTTCAAAACAAGCCGGAGACACTGGTTTTGACCATGGTTTTGACTAAAACTAAAAGTTGACAATGTTGACTTGTTCTAGTTTAGACTAACGGAAATCTCATTTTTTATGAACGTTTTCGTTCACATGGGAAAATGCATTGAACGATCAACAGCAAATTTTCATTCAGTTACATTTCTAAGTTGACTGCCCTCGCACTGACGACTAAAATTGAGTTCTGTGGACTTTTTAAAAAGTTTATCAAAAAAGTCCTCAACTTTACAATTGAGTCTGTTTAGAGATAGTAATCCATGTTATTGAACGATTTTATGTTTATTGACACGACTCACGAGTGTCTTCACTTGCCTCTGACATGTGATTGTGTTTGAAGTCCTTTCTTAGTTATGGTTTCAGAAAGTTGCAGTGCGTTGATGTGTATGTGTGTGTGTGTGTGTGTGTGTGTGTGTGTGTGCGCGCGCACACGAGAGAAAGCGAGCAGAACGTCCTTTTATAACCGATGTCATGGGTTGTGTCTTGAGGGACAATAGAGTTCTTGTTGTTCATTAATGAAAGCATGATGGTAAGAATTGTTGTACTCAATATTGAAACAATAGAAATGTAAACCCCTTATTTTATCAATGTTTTTCATCCATTGTATTAGAGAGATTAGTAAATGAAAACATTACTATAAAATAATTCAGTATTAAAGGTGTAGTAGACTAGGATAGTTCACTCAAAAATAAAAACTGTCATTATTTACTCATGTTGTCCGGACCCTGTATGACTTTCTCTGTTCTTTCATTTGGAGCACAACATGAGAAGATGTGTGTAGCTCAAACTGTACAGTGTGGTGCTTGCAACGCCAAGGTCATGGGTTCAAATCCAAGGGAATACCTGAACTGATTACATTTTTCCCTTTAAGGCAATGGAAGTCACTTTGGATAAAAAGCATCTGCCATATGTAAATTTTGTCGCTTTAGGCAGAATGACAGTTTCAGCCACTGTTAAATTCCGTTGTATTTTTTTTACATAGTATAATAAAACCTGTTGCTGTATTTAGCCTTTTTTCCAAATAATTTTGTCAGATAAATACTTTGACCAAGTTTAGTGTTTTGTTCTTCCTTGATAATTAAAAACATAAAAATTCATATTTTTACTCATATTTTGCTTGATTAATCGAACTTGTAGGGTCATTATAAACAAATATCCCCTCCAGACATCACTTTTGGCCACTACTGTGTATGTTTGGTGTGGTTAGTTCCACAATAGTGCTATTTTCTGCTTACTGTGTGGACTGATGAGCCCATGTCATCACTGGTGCACTGCTGCATTTGTCCAGTTGCCAAAAAATGTCATTAATACTTTGATTTCTGCAGTTAGAGCATTGAATTGTATGGGAGAAGTTATTCAATTTCTTACTAGATCAGTTACAAAATGAATACCTTGACTGTTAAGCTTGTATCGTTTTATCAACTTCCTGAATATAACTCCAATACATTATATCTTTTTCGTAATGTGTGTGGGCTCCTCCTCTCTGCTGCCATCTTGTTACTCCTAAAAAGGTTAGGACACCTCTCCAGCACTCTTAAATAGTTTAGGAGCTGTTCTTAACACATAGGGACATTTATTCTTAAGTTTAGGAATAAGAGTAAGACTAAAATTACACCATTTTATACACTTAAAATTTAGCTCTGAGCGGCTTTATATGGCCCCTGGTCTTATGTGAAGAGTTCAACTAATTCTCTTTCTGAAGATCAGAAATTGGGACTTGGTCAGATGATCTCACAGCGTTCTCCCCCTTTTTGTTGGCTGGATACTGGCTGGATATTAATGAAGACCCACTGTATTCCATTTTTGTCGTGCAACATTTGCATAAATGACAAGACCTTGTGTATTTACCATCTCAGGTTTCAAAAGCAAATTTTAGGATAATATTTTCACCCTGAGGAAGTCATTAGGAAAAGGAGTGTCCCAGATGCTTGGGACTGTTTGTGAAGTTTTACCCATTGAGTTTTTCAGCTGGCTTCGTGGTAGCAGGATGTTTGATGGCTTCCTTTCCTTTATTTATCCTTTTTGTTTCGACTGAACTTGTACAATTTATTTTTCACACACTGGCAGTCTGGCATTCGTTTTTTGATTTTGCAGTTATCTGCAGCCACTTTTATATCTTCTAACCAATAACAAAGGATTTTACCTCATTTAAATTTTAAAGTTGCAAAGCATGCTGCGGATATCACAGGGTTGCTGCTAAAATTCATGGTGCCAGAGATAAAATTATTAGCCTGGCTTGACAAGTTGACAGTCTTAGTCTACTGATGTTGCTGCACAATGCTGATGCTGTTCATTTTTTACTCAGTACTATATTATATTATATTAGATCATCATTATCATATATTATATTACTCATATAGGCCTATTACATTAAAGTCATTATACAGAAAATTTACTTTCCCTCATGTCATTCCAAACCTGTATGATTTTTTTTTCTTCTGTGGAACATAAAAGAAGATATTTTGAGAAATGTCACTGTTTATTTATTTTGTCCATGCAGTGGAAGTCAGTGGTCACCAAAACTGTTTGGTTACCAACATTCTTCAACATATATTCTTTTGTTTTTTAAATAAAAGAGGCCATACAGGTTTGAAACAATGTGAGGGCATGCAAATGATGAGAGAATGTATTTTTTTTTTTTTTTTTTTGGTAAACTATCCCTTTAATGTAATGTATGACAGTGTATGTTTCTCACACCTACTTATATTCTTATTCATTATATTCTTATACAATGCATGCAGCAGTTTTAGTTTTTGCTACAGAGAAGATGTCCTGTAGATTTATTCACTTACTTAGCATCTGGCACTGTGTGAAATGTGACCTGATGTGTTTGGCATTATATTGCAATATGGTACCTGTGAAAATGTAATTTATCAAGATATTTTATTAGCTAATCAATCAAGTTTACAGTTATATTATAATTGTATTGCTCCTGTTTTCTCTAGGAAATAAAATTGGAGAAATACCTGCCAAAGAAGGAGAAGCATCCTGATTTGCTACCAGGTAGAAAATGAAATCCCTCACACAATGTTCTGCTATCTCAGGTTTTTCTTTGTATTATTGTCAGTTAATCTAAAAACATTTTTGTGTCATTGGTACGCTGGGTGTAATTTTCAATTCAGGTTTATAATTGCTCTTTAATCCAGACTGTAACTTCCAGAGATCTCATTTAGTGTAAGTTTTGCAGATACAGAAAAGTGGGTAATGTTCTAAAACACTGACAGTATTTCTTCAAAGTTCTGCACACCACAAAACAAGACTGTAATTGGCATTGTGTTTATGTCTTACATTGTATTATTGGGTCTCATTCATGAAACACGAGCAGAACGAATTTTTGTGTAAATCGTGTGTAAAGTGGTTCTGGCGTAAATTTTCAGATTCATTAAAATGTTCGTATTTTCCAAATGTTAGTTGGTACACAAGAAATCTACACCTGCTCCCAGCCACGCGTAAATAGTGCGCTTAACACCTGAACGTTTTGCTCATTAATAAGGCTGCATTTTAATTCACCTTAATCGGGTACATATTTGCACAGCATTTTGAAAAAATATTATATATAGTAATTACATATGTTTTTTTCTTATTATGAGAGCCAGTAATAGCATCTGCGATGGTGGTCCTTCTCCAGTTTGAATACTATTTTTCCGAAGTGAACTAATTCGTTTTTTGCTCTCAAGCTTAACGTCGAACCATTTTCTTCTCACTTCTGGGAATGTTCGATTAACAGATGAAACTCCATTAACTGCATCTGTAATATGCTGCCAAGCTTCCTTTTTTTTTTAGGACCCGATACGCCACTATGTACGCTTGAAAATAAAATGTGGCGTTTTGAATGAACTTCTGATAATAAAACTTCAATTTCTGCATCTGAGAATTTGTTTTTTTCATTCGCATTCATATCATAATATGATGCCCATATATAGTTGTCAGTCGGATTTAATGGGCGGGATTTATGGTAATTGAGAATGAACGTGCACGCGCATCCCATTTACGACTGATTGGAATTCATTAACACACACACACATTTCACTATCACATCTGTCGTTTACGAAGTATTTGTGAATCAGGAGAAGAGTTTTCGGGAAGGTCTCTTTACGCGCAAATCACTCGCATATTTACTCGTATATTTACGAATGTTTCATGAATGAGACCCATTGTGTTTAAAGCCTTGTTCATTCACACTGTCTGTCCAAATCCGACTAGGCCTATTTGTGTATACGACTAAAATCAGATCTAGGCCTAAATGATTGACTGTCCAGTGAGTGTCCACACTGTGTATCGTAACTGTTCAGATCTGATTTGTGTGTCCTGTGGCTCTCTTTCATTTTCTGGAATATCTGCGTTGGTTTCCATCACAATGATGTTGCTTTGGAAGGACTATGCCAAAAAAACAACAATGATGTGTTTTAGAATATGACAATGTGTACCTGCAGGCAGCGCTGGACTACTGGTCCTGTGTTCATAAATGGAGTGGCTGTGGAGAGAGTCCCCTGTTTTAAATTCTTGGGGTTGAACATTACAGAGGATTTTTCTTGGACTACACACACCTCCACTGTCATTTGAAAAGCACATTTTGGATTTGGACTGACAGTCTGAACAGGGCTTATGTGACATGACTTTGCTGATCTGTTGCATCCTAGGTGAAGTGGTGTTCTGTAGCGCCAACCCCATTCTCAAATACACTCAAGATGACCTCTCCCAGCGTGGCGTCTTTGGCACGTTGTTCTGCACCAATTTTCGTGTTACGTTCTTAAGTGATGAGCTGACACAGGAAGAGACGGTAAGAACACGTGGCAGGGCTGTAAAAACAAGACCTGATTTCATGACAAAGTTTTACTGTTTCACGGATGGCAATTTCATTTAAAATTTGATTTGTACAAAGAAAAGTAAGATTTTTAGAAAAAAAGCATGAAGGCCCACCCCTAAACCTAACCCTCAGTGGGGTATAAACAAATCATATTAAAAATATACGAATGAGATCAATGAGCGAATTCACCACAATGTAAAATAGTTACGAATTGACGTGAGAGTTTTCCTGTTCATAGTATAAAAAAATAATGTTAACACTTTACAATAAGGTTCATTAGTTAACATTAGTTAATAGATTAACATATATTAACAATGATCAATGCATTACAGTATTTATTAATCTTTGTTAATGTTAGTTAATTCAAATACTGCTGTTCATTGTTTGTTCATGTTAGCTCACAGTGCATTAACTTATGTTAACAAATACAACCTTTGATTTTAATAATGTATTAGTAAATGTTGACATTTAATATTAACTAAGATTAATAAATGCTGTAGAAGTATTGTTCATTCTTAGTAAATGTTAAGTAAGGTAGTTAACTAATGAACCTTATTGTAAAGTGTTACCAAAATAATCAACATATATATTCAGAAAAAAGAGGTCTAATGTAATGCTAATTCACATCTACTGAGTGAATAGCAGACTGCTATCACCTAAGCAACAAATTTACATTTCTAATTCAGGCTTACCGAACAAAGAACCGCAGTGCTTTTCAAAAAAAAAAAGATATCATGTACTTCCTGTATGTACTGTAGCATTCTTGTACATAGTGTGGTTTGAAAAAAAGATAACATGTGATCTAGATGTTTATATAATGGTAATCTTAATGATAAGGATGCTATTTTTTAGAGGTGTTTATCAATTAAACATTTTTATGAAAAATCTATGCAGATGAGGTTAAGTGAGGGGTAGCAAATGTGTTAATAAAAGTTGTTATTGTTTTTGTTTTTTTATAATTGTGTTAAATTAACTCATTAAATTGACTGCCATACTATACTATTCCAAAACAATTTCACGTGCATCTGAAAGATTGTCATTTACCCAATCTCTCTATAATCTACTATTTAGGTCCAGTGTACAGGAAGATTCTGTTGCTTCAAAAGCTTTATAGCCAAAATAAATTAAGCTCTGCGGATCGGCTTATATTGTTGGCTCCTGTATGATAAATACTTTTTCCTCATTTATAAGTCGGGTTTGGATAAAAGCAGCTGCTAAACGAGTAAACAGAAAAATCACACGTTGTTGAAACATTGGGTGTCTTAAAAGCATGCTCGGTGACCTTGCATGAGGAACTGTGCTGTGAGTGCTCTCACTTTAGCTGCCATTTCAGGAACTTGAGTGTCTGACTCACTGGCAGTGAAATTCTGGTGGGAAACCAGAGCCTTACAGCAGTCTCAAATGGTCAGATATTCATGTAGTGCCAGGTATTTTTGTTTTCAGTTCGTTTTTTGCTTTTTTGCATGTTGACCAACTTCGGTATATGAAGACATAACTAATCTAATCAGTAATCGTAAAAAGCTGCAAAACAATGCTGCTGAAAGCTATTGGCCAGATGGTAGTGTTGGTTGGTATCAAGAGGTTTCGCTGGCTACTTTCAGATTTCTATTTGGAGGTGGCTAAGCAGGAAGTGATTTCACAAATAAAATATTGTGTGAAAGTTTGATGCAGCACACTGAACAAGGCAACAGCATCTGCCTTTCCTGTTAGTTACTGTGTGCTGTATAAAAATGCACCTTTCACAGCCGACTGAGCATTTGTTAAGCACTGTCTTTTGCAAGCATTATTTACTTTGGTTTTGTCTGCATTGTGAACGTTCCATAAGAGGCTGTTGTGTCACTCACCTTTGTTCCAGTCCAAGACCTTTAAGAACAAACTCTATGGAGAAAATGACATTCCATTAATGTGTGTGGATCACATCTATGGTGGTAATAATCGTTTTTATCATTAATGATTATAGAGCTGTTCATGTTTTAAAAGGGAAAGTTTTTTATTTGAATGTTTGAGTTCTGAAAAAACGTTTCATTTCTTTTAAAGTTTATGATGAAAAAAGGAAACTGATAACAGGAAGCTTTGTGAAGAACAAATACCCATCCAAAATAATAATTCACTGTAAAGATCTACGCGTCTTTCAGTTCTGCCTAACATTCACCAAGGAGGAGGATACCAAAAAGGTAATTTGTTTAACTTGAGGACAGAAATATTTGTACGTTTAAAAACGAATGACACATTTCCTTGTGCATTTTTATTTTTATTTTTTTTGTCAGATCTTTCAGGGTATTGCTCACCATTGTTTGGAGGAGAAATCTCTAAAGTGCATCTTTGCTTTTTCCTATGCTGGGACACCAAGCCCAGGTACAGATTTGAGCTCATATTAGAGGCTTTCATTTTGTTACTATTGTTACTTTCCATAGTTTCACTTGTTGGTTAAATACAGCTGTTGTCTGAGTATCAATTATCTGATAATCCACTAAGCACATGTAACCACTAATGCAACATTAGGGAAAACATCACCATGAGAAGTTCATGAAGTCACACTTATGCAGAACATGAACTTTGCACACATCTGAAATGCAGACATGCATCCAGCACTGGACTTCTAGCACCAGCTGCTAAATTCTGATCGTAGTCTATGCAACTGGAATTCAACAGATGGTTGCAAGAACAACAGTCAGTGTCTCTTTATAGACATTATATATTCCAGATCATCTTTCTGGATTTTAGTGGCTCAACAAGGATTTATATGTATCAGGAAAAATATATATTTTTCATTAAATTACAAAAATGACCTGGTATTTAATTTGCAGTAATTTGAGAAGAAGAAAAACAAGGCATTATTAATTTGTAACTGATGCTTTTTAAAATATCCCAAGTCTTCATTGTCAGCTAGCTAGCAAAGTTAATGACAAACTTTGTTGAAAAACATATGTATGTGATCAGGGCTTGACATTAACTTTTGTGCCCACCAGCCTTTTTCCAAAGTTACTGGCCACAATTTTGACATCGATACCATGGGGAAAAACTGCCATATATATTTTTTTAATACTATCTCAAACATTTGGCAGTATGTATATTAGGGTGCTGTCACTTTAAAACCCGACGCATGGATCCATTATACTGTTACACATGTGTTTTCTTTCTCAACAACTGATTGCGTTTACGTGAGCCTTATTTATTTACATATTTGTAAGGTAGTCCTACTTTTTTCTTTGTATTAATTGTGTTTTGTGATGTGTGTGTGATTGTACTGTGTATATGTGAGCCTTTTTAACCAAAGACAAATTTCTATCACTGGTTGATAGATAATAAAGTTTTTGAATTTTGAATTTGAATTTGAATACTCGCCAAGACTGGCATTTTGACATTATTTTGTGTCTATTTGACTGTTGAAGCGCAATTGGCAGCGAAAAATAACTCGTTATAGTACTGAGAGGTGGGTTTATGTGTGTGCACTTTGGGTGTGAGCACAAAATCTGCCTGAATAAGTAAAATTATGCGCAATCCCACACTGAAATTCAAGCCCTGTAACACCAACAATATCCATCCGGAGCAAATGAAACGAGTGACTGAGGGGAGGCGGGTTTGTGTGTCAACTCACTGTCGGAGAGATGTGAGAGCTAGAAAGCACAGCTGGTATCGTGTCTATTCTGCGGAAAATGAGTATTGGAAGCGTTTCAGATATTTCAGTATCTATTTATCGAAAAAAATAATATTTTTGACAACACTACATTGCACTAAGTTTATTATTTCAGATGTCTTTTTGAAAGACTTCAATTAAAAATGTATTATATATAAAATTCAATGTGTTAATGTCAAGCCCTGTATGTGAAGATTTGGTGACAACACAGCACTGGTCGGTAGAGAGAGTGAGAGTTCCAACAACTGATTCGAAACTCTCTCACACTTGCCCCCTAGACTATCAGACTAGTTTTAGAATGAAAGATCATTTTATTTAGTTTTTAGATAGCTTAACTCTCATTAGTCAACTTTGGAACAATACAATGCTATTTGTATTTGCAGAAATGCAAAGGAAACGGGAGACAATTATGTTTGAGTCACCAGAGGACTGGACACAGGAAATGAAACGGACCAAAGCGAAATGCAGATTAGTGACAGAAAATGAGAACTTTGAACTCTCTCAAAGGTACTTGATGTTGTTGTTGATGGCTATAAAGTGTCTGATAAAGTCTTGCTACTGTTTTTATTAAAAGGTGCATTTTCCGTAACGAGATCTCTAATCTCTATTTTATCATAGTCTTTAGCCGCGTTTCCACCGCAATTGCCCGGAACAATTTGTCCCAGGAACTTTTTTCCCAGGAACTTTTTTTGCCCCAGACCGGTAGCTTTCTGCGTTTACATCGCGGTCTAAAGTACCGGGTAAACTGCGCGCGACTGCTCATTGCTTGCTTGTGACGGACAGTAGACTGTAAAAGACAGTAATCAGTTTTGAGCGCCACATTTATAATAAATATGGAAGAGATTCACACTGTGCTGCAGTTGTTTGAGATGTATTGGTTTACTAACCAGGTAATTAACAAAACGGCAGAAAAGAGACGAGCACTGATACTAAAGCGTGTTCAGAAAGCTCGTAATGCTAACGTTAGATCTAAAATTAGACAGCGTATGTTATCAGCTATTGCGGACATTGACCGTGAGAAGGCTGGGACGAACGCGCAGAAAATTTCTCTTCCGCAAATACGCTTAATAAAGCCTGAATCTCGTCGTCGGTCCAGCTGCCTTTTTTATTTTTATTAAATTCCATATTTGCAGACAGACAACTCTTACTGCATGGAACTTCATTACTGCATGAAGCCACGAACTGCAATAGATTCTAAAAATTCCGGTTAAAATAAAATGCTGCGCGGAGTTATCCAATCATAATGCGGCGTGAACACAACCAATCAGCATGTTCAGCGCACAAGCCCCACCCGCGAAAGTTCCTGAACTTTGAAAAAGTACTACCTCGCGAGCAGGGACTTTCGGAGGGGGAAATATCTACCCGGAACTTCATTTAGACCCTGGTTCCTGCGGTGTAAACACACCGAGTACCAGGCCAAAGTTCCTAGTTCCTGGGTAAAGTTCCTGCGGTGGAAACGCGGCTTTTATGTGCTACTGACCTAAATTTTTGTTTGATCAATCCTACACTGTTGGGTAGTTCAAAACTACTGTTAATATTTTTAGGTGATGTAATTTATTTAATCCGTTTTTAGCAGTTAAATAGTCCTGCGTTGAATAAATGTGAATTTTCAAAAGAAATCCAATGCATTCTCTCAATTAATATAGGATAAAATGCATGGATCTATATTAATTATAAAAGAATTAGCAAAACTGTTTTCAGTGATCTATAATAGCATGTCACACGTTGAAAATGTTAATGTGAAATAAATGTATTCAACAAAGACACTGCTCTGACATTGTCTTTAGGTTACCGAAGTACTTTGTCATCCCATCAGCACTAGATGATTTATTCAGCTATCAAGGGAAGGGATTGCCAGTGAGTTAAGGATTTTATTCTTAAGAGAATATGAACATTTAAATAATTTTGGAATGTTATTATAATTGTAATGTTGGCATTTGTAAAGAAGTTGTCATTTGTATAGCTGAATGCAATTGAGGTCAGTTGCCTGTTATTTTCCTCTTTAGATCTGGTGTTGGTCTCATCACAGCGGTTGTGCTCTCTTCAAAGGATCTTTCCCACCTATGACACAGGAAGAAGGGGATTTCCAAAAGCACTTGGACACGTAATGGAGTACAGTTTTTGACTCATATTTATCCTCTGGAATCAGCCAAACTGCTGTGATATGGTTATTTGTGCCCTGAGTTTCTGTGTTTAGGTGCTGAAACTCAAGGGCACTGTTCTTTATCTAATAACAACATGCCAGTATGTTATCTAGTAGTGCTCTAGACACCATCAGCATGAACCAATATAACCTTTTTGTGTTTTGGTGATGTAACATGGTGTCCACAGCAAATAAAATAGTCATGTAACATGGTGTTCATAGCAAATAAAAAATAAAGTATTGTCTTATTTTGACTGTCACTGGTACCTTCACATTGACAAATTCTGTTTTTTTTTGTTTTTTTTTTACTTCTTTTGCAGAATGATAAATGCAGTCGCACATAATTACCTCTACTCCGTAAAAACAGAGGACCTCTCAGAATCCCTTCCTACGATCCTAGACATCCAGCAGTCATATAACAAGTTCAAACAATTCTTTCTTATCGGTGAGTCACAGAATACACTGAAGTCTCTTTTATAAGGAAATGTGAACAAATCCTCAAATATAAAATGAAAGGATGGGTATTTTGTTTCCAGTCACTTTATAATGACTCAATTTTATTTTTTGTCTCTTAGATAATTCAACCGATTTTTGGTTGTCAGATGTGAAATGGTTCTCTTCCCTTGAAAGCTCAGGATGGCTAGACATTATTAGGTCAGCTTACATTGATAAAATATTAGATTGTGTGATTTACTAGTATTAGACTATGAAACTATTAACAAACTGTATGTAATGTCCTCAACAGACAATGTCTCCACAAAGCAGTAGAGGTGGTTGAATGTATTGATAAAGACAACACAAATGTCCTTGTAACAGGTTAGTCAAGCATGTTTCAACTATTGACTTATATTGAGATTTCAATACATGTTTGAACAATCTGACATGTTAGCCAATAGTGTGAGTTTGGGATGGGACCACCTGTTTTTTTGGAGGTGGTTAAAGTGTCTGAGAGAACTAGTTCCTGACCTTCAAAAAATAAAGTACCTTTAAACCTCAATGGATCGATCTTTATGACTTTGAGATTGTATCCCCTGATGTTTTCTGTTGTTATTGATTGATTGCAGAGGAAGAGGGAACAGATCTGTGCTGTGTGATCTCCAGTCTGGCTCAGATAATGCTGGACCCTTATTACAGAACACTGATGGGTTTCCAGAGTCTGGTGCAGAAGGAGTGGGTGGCTGGTTGCCATGCCTTCCTGGATCGATGTAATCACCTCCACCAGAAAGACAAGGAGGTAATTATTGCATGCTCGTTCTTGCCTGTTGTTTCTTCAGAGGCTTAGTGGAAATGTTACTGTTCTATATTTTCCTATTTGTATTATTCTTAACCTCTGAGATTTAAAGGCCTTTTTCCCTGCAAACGTGTCTTTTATGAGGTTGTAAAATCATGTCATGTCTAATAACACGTGTATGAAGATTACTGAACAAATCCTCAAATATTAGCATTTCACATTTGCCCGTTCAACCGATATCCTGCACTAGTATCATGTTTTTTGTTCCACTTTTGAGACTTTTTCTTGTCATCATAAAAAAAAAAAAAAAATCACCTAAAATCAGTATCCATTTATTTACCTGTTTGCTAAGTAACCATGTTATATACATAATATACAGTCAACCGGTCACTATTCATAGTTTTCAGTCACGCTACTCGTGAGGAGACCTTAAGAGCAAAACATCTAAACTGCAGCACAGGCCTGTCAATTTTCCATCTGTTTCAAGCAACGAATATTTAGAACACCTCAAAAAAAACAAAAAACAAAACAAGATGGTTAAGCGTTTTCTTTATAAAGGTTTTCTATGGGAAAACTGCACATTGTTTATATTCTGGTTTGACCTGCTTGCCTGACATAGCCATAATCATCATAATAGCACTGTGATCTGTTCTCATCCTCGTTGTCTTTTTAATTAGATTCTTGTTTCTCAATGCGCAGTGTCATTCTCCAGTCTTCCTCCTGTTCCTGGAGTGTGTGTGGCAGCTTGTTCACCAGCACAGCCCGGCTTTCCAGTTCTCAGAGACTTACCTGACTGTGCTGTCCGACAGTGTTCACGTGCCAGTCTTCAGCACCTTTCTGTTCAACTCTGCCCATCACAGAGAAAGTGTTATGAAGGTAGAACTTGTGTATTTTATGTTTAAAAAATATATATATTTTGATGTTGTGATTGCAGCTTAGAGTCAGTTTGCTACACTATTTTGCATTTTGAGTACCGCATTCACCATTCTGCCAGATGAACAGTATTAGAGGCCTCTATAGAAGTACAGTGGCTCAAAAGAAAACAGTCAGCCCTCTGTAATGCTGTCGTTAGTCTACGTGTACTCAGAACTTAGTGGCCGTTGCCTCCCTGACGCAGTCGACACGCCTCCTGCTGACTGCCTGTGCTTGATTGTCTTGGCAGGCCGAGTCACCACTTGCACAAAGCGGCACATTGAGCTGCCCTACAGTGTGGGACTGGTCTGTGCAGTTTGACAGCAAGGCCCAGAATTTCTTCTTTAACCCACTGTATTCAGAGAAGGTTAAACATGAGAAGACTGTACGCAAACCTCACAAGCCCAAGGTGAGAGGATGAAATGCTATACTATCTCTTACCCGTTTTAGGGCCTGTTTACACCTGGTCACTTCCTGTGTTTTTGCTGATTGAAATCTGATTCTTTAAAACGGTTCCATTTACGCTTAGCCACATAAATGTGTCTCCGCGAAACGAATGTAAATCGGATCTACAAGTCCCGGGCTATATGCAAATTTAACGGAAATCACGTCAACGATAGTAACAGATATGAGGTGCATTTTATTTATCATCAGCTAATTTCAAGATCAAAGACCACAATAGGAGAGAGAGCGCCGTCAGGACTGGTAAGATAATTTAGTCTCACTACTTTTAATGAAGATGATTGTGTGTTGAACGTCTGCGACTTGCTTTCAGTTTCATTTGCAGCAGTTTGCACGTCGGCTTGCTGAAGCGATGCGTGTTGCAGTAGCGCTGTCATATCTGGCTAGAACATGTCATATAGCCTATAACACGCGCTCGCACGTTTATTTTTTACCGTTTTGGGAGGAATAAAATATACAAATGTGGTTTCAACAACCAGATGCATTTACACTTGTCCAGTTTCATCTGGAATGCATCTCTAATCATCTGCTGAAGTGGTTTGAGCGATCGGATTTAAATCCGTCTCGAAAGCGTTTTGGAGGGCATTTACACCTGGTATTTTCACGATCGGATCGCCATCTGACCAGGTGTAAACAGGTCCTTACATAATTTAATAATGTAGGGAAAGATGCCCCGCCCACAATTAAGAACAGTGTTAATTTACTGCTAAATTGTAATATTTAGAAATAAGTTCAACATGTACAGGATATTATTAAGAGAAATAACAGTTAATAACATTAAGGTTTTATAGCACTAAAAATATGCATCTGATATCATGTAAAACATAATGATTGATGTTTTAAAATTACTTTAATTTAAATATTTAAATATTCTGTATTTGTTAATACATTTTTACAATTACTTGAATTATTGCATAATGATCTCACTTAGTGACATCTGAATTGCACTGTTTAATCTGAATTATGTACAGACAAAATCTAAAATACTGAAACTGTTTAAATATTATATTTTTAAATCTTAAAAAGTAATAGATAAGAATAGCAAGAAACAATGAATTTAGATCAAGTGATGCCACTGAGTTAGCCTACACTTTATGATGAATAATAAAGATGTCTGAAATTTACATATAAGCCATGGAGTTATTAATTATCAATGAATTATAATAATTATTAGTCACCATTAAATCAAAATTGACAATTCGTATTGTTTATGGATTGTTGCCATGTTTATTATAAATGATTTATCCATGAAATTAATATTTGTATTTAAAAAAAAAGAAAAAAAAGCATGTGAGCACATAAAAAATTTTTTATTTAGTCCCGCCCTAGGTTTTTTTAATTATTATTTCCATTTCACTCAGGTATACTTCACAACTGAGAAGAAAACTCACAATTTGTTTTATTTCTTGCTTACTTTAAATAATAAAAACACCCAATTTTTCACCTTTTGCTTCAAAATAAGAAAACTATTTGTTACCATACAAATTTATGTCAGATGGAATAAATCTCTCAAATGCTGATTAAGTTTAGTGACATCCGTTGTCAAAAGGAAAATGAAAGGTGAGGTGGGCATCTTACCCAATTTTCCCCTCATTTTTTGTCTTTGGCTTATTTTGTGTGTCTGACTTTGCTCTTCATATTGAATAATATCTAAGTTGAGTTCGTTCTGTGCATAAATTGTTTGCAGACTAATATTTAAATAGTTTTTTTTATTTTAAAATGTACAGCACCAAAGACAGTTATCCTTACCCAGTGCAGCCTTCAAAACCCCACCCAAGAAAGGTTTCTTTAAGGAGGAGACCGACAGCCTTAAAAAGATGCTACGAGTGAAGCGTATCAGTCGCTGGATGGGCTCTCCTGACTCCCCTGTGGCCGCCACCCGTGAGTTCTACGAGTCCTGGCAACAGCGTCCTCTGGACTATCACGGCATCCTGCTCCCCAGTCTGGATGGACCGGCTGTCCGCGTCTGGATGCAGCGCTACGTGCGCTGGATACCTGAGGTGCACATCCAGGGCGGCGGCTCCATGGCCGTCATGACCAAGCTTATGGAACTTCTAAGTCAGGTGCAGGATCTGAAGCGTGTGCTGGAGCAGAGAGACGCATCACAAGCTGCTAAATTTGATCACCGTCCACACCTTCAGCACCGGCTGCTCTCGTTCGGCTCCTCGGGACGATTGTCATCTTCATTCCCCTTCGCTTACAGCCGCAACCGATCTTTCAAGCCCATCATTCCTACAGGTCTAATGCAAAGCCTTATGGTAACTGACAACCTAGCTAGTCAGGAGGATGAGGCCAGTTAGGTTGTCAGTTTGATTTAACAGGGAATCTGTTTTCACCCATATGTTAAATATGTGTCCATATATTATTAAATTATAATTATAATATAAATCGGGATTATATTGGCCTCGTCAGATCCAGATTAAAATCCTGATGATGGTGCTTAAAAGTGCCTTTGGCGCTAAAGTGGGTCCTTTTGGAAAGGAAAATACGCCCTATTGTGCCCTATTATATTGAAAACATAGTATGAGCCTTCAAACAGGATTAAAGCTCTTTTATTTTAGTGTTTTTGTTTTTGATGTTCTTAATGGAACAATACCTAGCATTTACCTCTTGCTCGTCACAAAACAGGAACAGGATATAGTCCTGAACTTCCAGCCTTTCCAGTGCACAGTGTTACATAAAATCTTTACCAAGTAACATACAGTATTCCATTCCAATGATCTATGGATGAACGAATGATAGCAAATTTTGACTTCTCTGATCCCTCACGTATTATAACTTCTGATACATCCATGCACTCAGAGGTCAGTCTGTACATGCCGCCGCAGGGGTTAAAAGTGGGCAGTGTTCACTCTAGCATGTTTCCAGCTATCTATGGCAGTGAGATGCGTCTAAAAAAGGTTAGGCAATGAAAATAGTGTGAAGCCATCTACAAGTATATTATTGTTACTGTTACGTGTAAAATCTATTGAAGATTAGACTGCTTACTATGGACCAATGTGATTTCTTTTTTTCAGATACCATGTCAACCTGTGGGGTATATAAATGTTTAATGTGTACATGGGGGCTTTTGTTTTGTAAGAAAACAGGAAGTAGAGAACAATATATGAGATCAGCTGTCTCAGAGTTTCAGTGCTTTATTGTATGATGTGTACACTGTGTGACTCTTATCCGTCCGATGACCGGCTGACTCATTTTATTGAACCTTAGATGCTGTAATTGGTAGTATGGGGCATTTTTAAAGGACACAAAGCTGAATATTAATATCATCACAATTAATTTGTAACTCTGTTTTTTCTTATGATGACAAATGCATCACACAAATAGACATTACCACAGGATGTGAAAGAAAGTTTCAATCAGCACTTACACAGCAAGATTCAATTGACAAATTTAAGAGTAAGTCCTCATAGTAGACTACAAGCCTTTGCAAATATAACTATTAAGGCATAAGCTATTTTCATACTGTATCTGCATTTGTGCACATTCTTCTTATTTTATTTTCACTGGTGCCTGCAGAACTACTGCCACAAATCAACAGGCACTAAATTGTGTTGTTCGATGTCTGTTGCCCTTCCCCTCCACCCCATAATAATTGTAATGTAATGAAACTGATGTAAGCATTGTACTGAGTTGTTATTTGTTAGCAAAGGTGTGGAGAAAGCAGTTTCCTACAACCCTTTCACCCTTGTTTTGCACTACTGCTCCTTTGCCAGTCATTCACTGTTACTTGAACAGTCAGTCAGCTGTTAAACTGATTCTGTTCACTTCAGTTCAGCACTGCTCTTGTGTAGGACAAGTGATGGTGTGCTGGATAAGAAACCTATTACTGTATAATTGTTTTGTATTTTTCTGTAACCAACTTTAGAGTTCACATTATAAGAGTTTGGCCGTGGAATATATGAAAAATGTCAGATTGCTTTATTTTGGACTATTTACTTCAAAAGTATAATTTTCATGTAAAAGTAACATTAAATACTTTTATATATGCACATGGGAGTATGTAACTTGCTCTTTTTGTCCACAAAATATGATTGAAATAAAAGATTAGATCAATGATTATCAGTTCTTTTACTTCTAGAAAAGTAACTTTTAATGCAAATGGTTCTGACAAAGGTTTTTTCTTTCTTTTTTTGGATTTTTATATAATATTCTGTGGTTTCTTGATTCTCTTGAAAGTGCACATTTATAAATATAGAAAAAACAAAAAGAAATGTACAGTACAACCTGGAAAGTTACCTAAAAATGTTTTATATAATTAAATACAAAATATTTAAATCTATTATTAATGGTACCAGTTTAAGTATGTCTCAAAACCTAGTGTGCTACCAGTGTTATTTCAGTGTCATTGAGATACTATTATAGTTTATATTTAATATTTATTTGTATTTTTATATTTTCCGTTTTTGTTTCATTTAGCCTAACAGTTTTTTTTTATGTCTATATAGGGTTTTTTTTTTTTTATCAATTTTTATTTTATTTTAGTTATTTTTACTACAAGTTAAAATGAATGAAAAGGAGAAATGTTGCCTTGGCACCAGCTGAATTTTTGCACGTTTATTTTATTTTACCCCCTCTATTTTACCCTCTATGTGTCTAATTGTGGAATTACAGCTAGAAAAAATAAATGACTTTTTTTGTTTTTTGTTTTTGTTTTGTTTTTTACATATATTTAAGACTAAAATCCTTTTCCAAAATTAGTTTTCTACATCAGACCTTTTACCTTTTTTTTACAGTGCCGTCATTTATAACTAACTTTGTCTTATTATGGTAAATTATTTTTGGCAAATTGTCTGAAACTTCACACACATTCAAATGAATCTTTGCTATCTGAAATTAAGTGAAAAGTTCTTAGTGTTTCAAAAAACATTAAAAAGCTTTATTAACATTCCATTTCATCTTGTGCTACTATATTCATTTGAAACTCACATGTATAAATGTCAAAAACTTGACTCAAATTCAGATGCAACTTCACTACCTGGAAAGTATGAAACCATGTCTTATGGTGTTTCTTTGTTTCTTTCTTGGGATTCCAAATCAATGATTGTAGCACAAGTGAAAATCAACAAGACTTCTTTTTCAGTGTAGCCCAAACTCGACTTTGACCTGTTTAGTCATTTTGGAGAAACTTTCCAAACTGGCATAGGATAATGTACCAAATGCCTGAGTTCCACAACAATCTATGACTTCTATTCTTCATCTCTGCCATCACCCTGACTGCTTCTATCCTCCTTGATCCTCGTCGTCTTCCTGTCTTACTATGACTTCAATTTCTGCACTGCCATCACTACCATCAGTCATTTCTGGAAAAGGTACAGCTTTTCCTCTCTGTCTTCTATAAAACTTACTAATATCAAACAGGCCGAGAGGCTATTATACTGCCTGCCAGTACTGAACAATAGTGCCAGCTACACAGAAAATATGTCTCCCCTAAAAGGACTTTGTCATTTATGCATGAAGTACAGATTTTGTTTTTTGGTCTTTTGAGTTCGTTCTTACAAAATGTGCATTAAAAATTACCAAAACTTTAAAAAACACATTTGGATGTGCAATGATATATATATATATATATATATATATATATATATATATATATATATATATATATATTGTTTAATGGAATTGATATGCATTTTCTAGTTTAAAAAGAACTGAGGTGCCGCCCTTGACAGCATCACCTAACATTATGCTATCTCTACTTTCTTTTTGCCCCCCCAAAAAAGTCAAGCTCATAGACCTAGATTTTAATTGTATTGACCGAAGAGGATGTCATATAGCCTATTCCTAAACTGTATTTTTTGTTTTGTTTTTTGTTTACTATTATTATTGTATTTTAAAAAGCTGTTTTCTTCGCGTCATTTATAAACGATGCCCCATAGAGGGTTACGTAACGAAAATGTTTTTTTTTTTTTTTTATGGCTTTAGCTATAATAACTCTGGTCGTGCTACCCAACTGAAAATGCTGTCTCGGTGTGCACCTCCTCAGATACAACCTGAGTGTTGAGATGCCACATCTACTGTTGTAGCTAGTCGTCACGGCAGGTCGCCATATTAAACCTGACGGAATCAGCGACGGTCCGCGGCTGGGATCGCGAGGGGCCCCTCTCCAAAACAAATCCCTAAACTCACATTTATTCCCCTTATTCACCCCGGGAATCATTTATGCATCGGACTGAATAATCCAGTCTGTTCTCAGACAGGAGTCTGGGAAGGAGGTTTTGTTTTAGTGTGTTTGAGAGATGAGTAATTTGACCCAGCGGAGCTCCGGCCTGGTGCAAAGGCGCACCGAGGCTTCGCGCAGCGCTGCAGCCGCAGACAGAGAGCGTGGATCCGGCGACGAGGACTACGAGCCCCGCCGAGGAGACGAGCAGGACGACGACGACAGCAGCGATGCCAAGGAAACCAGACTGACCCTGATGGAGGAAGTGCTGCTGCTGGGCTTGAAAGACCGCGAGGTTGTTGTTGTTTTGCTTTTTATTTTAGTAACGTTAGTTGTCTGTTATTTCACATCATCACTCACCACGATCGCGTGCTTCATAGTTTATATTTGAGCTCTTTAAAGAAAGATGCTACTGGAAACAATCTGGGTTTTTTAAAACTCCCTTTCTTTTCTAAATTGATGACGTTTTGAGTCAAAAGCAAACAACAATATTGCTGTGGTGCAATGTAGCTTTTAGCTTGCCTTGCACTGCAGTTACAAGTTCTCTCGCTGTCCCATCAGACTGTCGAAACAAATCGACATTGCGTAAAGAACATAGTTTAAAATACCGAGTTATGCCTTTAACTGTCTAATACTTAAATTATAAACCGTTTCCTATAGCAAATTATAACCTTTGTGACATTAAGATTCGATGACATTATCTTGTTGTCATATCCACATGAAGCTCAGTATGATGGTTTTATTTACAGTGCTGCTTTAAGAAACTAAAATGTGAAGCAGTTGATTATTATTAAGATTTATAATTGCAGGACGAATTAATATAGTTGAAATGCCTTCATCGCCCACTGAGATTATTGTTACTAGTCAGTCACCCACATGTTGTACACATTCTAACAAAGCATGTAAATCCAAACTCACAACAAGAAGTGTTTTGGACAAATCCAAGATTTAACTTTTTTTATATATAGTTTGCCTTTTGATGCAGATATGAAACTTGAAACCTCAAATCAACAGTAAGGAAAACATCCAAAATGGTTTGATAACCATTGTTTTAAGCTCCATCAAATCATTTGTTTGGACCGCCAAATGTCAAGACATTTTTACTCTAAATTAGATAATATAGTTATGGTTAAGTTGTTTTAAAGCAATAACTTAGTAGTTTCTCTTGCTGAGTTAAACAAGTATACAGTCTGTACTGTTTAGTATTTAGCCTAGTAAGTTGTAAGCTAGTACAACTTCTGATCACAACCATTCATTGGGAGGGAGGTCAGGTCACCAACATGGAGGATCTGTTTGAAAAGCAAAGGACATACTCCATACAATTAT